CCGGTGGTGCGGGACCTGGCCCAAGCGTTGCCTTCATTGTGCGGGCGGCTGCGGGCATTTTGCCGGCAGCAACACTCTGACGCAGACGTGCTCCCAGATGAGCCCCACTGGGGCTTTAACTGGGTCCAGATGGGGCAATCTGAGGGATGTTGACGGTTTACAGCCCCCCTGAGTCTGGCCCAGGCTCTCTGAGGCATGACTTCGGGCTTTGGAGTCGGTACTTCCCCCTCATTCTCACTGTTCTGCAGTGTTCGTGTGTCTGAGCAGAGTTTAATCCCCCCCCCCCAAGCCCCCCCCCCGATGTGAAGGTGTTTCCAAGCCAGACTTTCTGCCAAGCTGCTGGCCGCTTCCCAGCTCTCCAGGGGTGACCCGTGGGGTGTAGATAGCTTGCTTGTCCGCCCTAGCTCCGACAGCTGTCCGTGGCCAGCAGGTTTCCACGGCCCTCGGCGCAGACACAGGGTGATCGTGCCAACGCAGCTGCTGCGGGGCCATGCTCGCAGCAGGCATGGCCACCTCGGGGAGACACAGCTGAGGCGGGCGAGCGTGGCCCCGACCCGGCTGGGAGCTGCTGAGCCCTGCTGCAGCGTTTGCATTAAAGCAGGGGAGGCGATGAACCCATCCAGATCTCAGCATCACGCCTTCTCCCCGGCCGTTCATGGCCCAGCCCTGCCCCGAGCTCAGGGCGAGGTCTGCACCCTCTCCCACCTCGCTGCCGGCTTTTGGAGCCTGCTGGGATCAAGGAGCCGTGTCTCATCTCAAGCAACTCTTGGCCAGGCACGGGCACAGAGAGATCTGTGTTGCCGAGCTCCAGACAAAAAAGTTTTCACCACTGAGGCAAAATGCAAACTCTCGCTGCCTGGGGAGACGCTTTTCCCTGGAATTTAGTGTAAAATTAAAAAAAGAACAACACAGGGATTTCTCCAAAGACTAAGCACTTGCTCGCACGCCAGGAAAAACAAACTGGATGACCTCTTAAATAATGCTGCCTGCTGTCATCTGTGGCAGCACGGAAAACGTGCGTTTGAGCTCAGAGACGTTGCAGAAGCGTGGGAACAACCCTGGCCCTCCCAGCTCACGGGATTTCTTGGTCGTGTACACGCAGGTGGAATAAGATGAGTTTCTGGAACTGCCAGGACAAGGAGACAGTACCCGGTGTGACGGCAGTGACGTACATGTCATGGAAAAATGGATGCTGGGATCTAAGTGATCTCAAGTCAGGACAGCCAAAACTGCCTCTCTCTAACTCAAGAGCGATGATGGGAAAATGGAAATTTGAAACATTTCCAGCTATTAAGTGCTTTTGCATTTATTTTTGGCCAATGAGATATTCAGCTTTAGTGTGGGGGTTGTGTTCTGTGACTCTTCCAGGAAAATAAGCATGAGGAGAAGGTCCAGGATCCTGACAGAAGAGAGGACGAGACCAAGGCAGAGATGGGGAGGAAAACCTGGGCAGACCTGGCTGGGGAGATGAAGATGTTCCTGTGGAACCCGGAGGACAGAACATGCCTGGGGAGAACGGCCAAGAGCTGGGGTAGGTCCTTGCTCAAGCCCCGCTTTCGGGGATCACTGCGTTTTCTGCTTCACAGTGGAGGCACTTGCCTGTGAACGTTCTTGATAGCTCAGACTGATCGCCCCCATCCCACGCTTCAGGGGAGGTGTTTCTAACCAGTGCAATAAAGAACTAGTGAGGACGACAAGCAGAAAACCTTGGGAAAGTTACCCTTGGTCTGGATGTTAATGTTTACTGAGAATGTGGAAGCAAAGATTTTGGGCTGCCCAGACCACGTACTGGGAAGAAATTCAGAGCCTGAGCATGCACAGGAGCTGCAGGTTGGTTTGCCACAGCCACACACCCCTGCTGCCACCAGTGACCCGGCTCCTGCCCGTGTGAGTCAGGAGCCCACGGGGAGGTGGGTTTGGGGTCATCAGTGTTGGTGAGAGAACAGTGCCTGCATCGTGGGGCAGGCGTTTTGGGGAGGGTGCACGCTGCCGGGCCGAGCAGCCCTCCTGGCCTGCCTGCTCATCGCCGTCACCCTGCAGCTTCCCAGGGCGCACCATGGTGGACATGGTTTAGCAGGCATGGTGGTGTTGGGATGACGGTTGGACTTGATGATCTTAGAGGTCTTTCCCACCCTTAATGATTCTCTGATTCTGTGACTTGATGGTGCCTGCAGCAGAGGCCGAGTGTGCTGCCGGCATCAGTGGGCTGCGGTGTGCCAGTGGGGGGTCTGAGGGCCCTGTCTCTTTTATCCATATCCATGTGGCCCTGAAAAGTTATCGCTGAGCCTGAGGGTGCCCCGGGTGGTTCAGAGCAGCCCATGGCTGTGGGGCGAGCCCAAGACCAAGGTGCCACAGCACACATGGCACCAACCACCTTTGCAGCTCTGTTCTCCTGATGGTGTGTAGCCCCCGCGACGGAGTGAAAATCCCCAGCCTTAGCATCACATGCGCATCCGCACCGGTGTGAGGCTGCGAGTTATTGGGGGCTGCTGCTCGGCGTGCGCAGCCCTGGGCAGCTGGCACCGGCCATGCACCCTCAAGCCCCGCAGCCTGCCCGTGCCCCCACCAATCGCTCCGGCTCTCCTGCAAAGCCAGCAGGGACAGAGCGGAAAAGCAAAGGAAACTGCCCACGAGCATCAGAGGAGCCTGAAAACCCACAAGCGTGAGTCCGGGGCAGGCCCTGAAACCCACGTTTGCTCCCGCGTGCCCTTCGCCGGGCACAGGGGCAGCCCGGTGTTGCTGCTCCTTGGCTGGACGGGAAGGCGCAGGCTGGAGTGTGGGAGCGATACGGGGGTGACAGTCCTTCGGACGTGGGTTTGGGTTTATGGAGGCTCTGCCAGGTGCCGAGAAAAGCCCCGTGAGGGGACTTGCTCAAGCTGCTGGGGACGTGGCCCCCCCGGCTGGCTACTGCTGGAAGTTATCTATTTACAGCCTCGAGGAGGGTGCGGTGTGTGCCGTGGAGCATCACGCTGTGCTCTGCGGTCCCGCTGCCCAGCGCACACCCACACCCTCAGCTGCACACGCGTGCGTGTGCATGTGCCCGTCAGGGGGGTAGGAGAGAGGCTTGGAAACTACTGCGAAAATCAAACTTGCTTTTAAAATGAGAGCATTTGGAGGTGAATGGAGCTGAACTTTGCCCGTCTCATCTCACGGGTGAGGAGGAGGAGGGAGTTTGCCCAACCGGGGCTGCTCCCTGCGCTGACTCTGAGGGTGTTCCCTGGGGACGGGGGGCTCAGGGGACTTGCGCTGCCAAAATGCAGGGAGCCAGCTGGCCACAGGGTCAGCACAGGAGGCCCCAGCCCCTGGGAAAGGCTGCACCCCCGGGCTCTGCCGGCGACTACGTTTCCTCCTGCACTGCAGGAAATGTAAGAACGGGAACAGCAGCAGCACCATGTCCCAGCAAACGCTGGCGTGGCATCCCAGTGGCAGCAGCAGCCCTGCCAGGCTGGTGCAGAGGCACTGTCCCAGCATCGTTGTGGCAGGGCTGGACGTTGTCCCCCCTGTGCCACCAGCTGCGGTGATGGCCCCATCCGCCCTGGCTCAGCCCACAGCAGGACACGGCCCCGCAGTGGTTCCCAGCACCACAGCCCCGAGCACACAGCTGCGTTCCCAGGGCTCCCTCCGAGCTGCCGGCACGTTTCTCCTGGGAAATGTTTGGGTTAGGGCTTTGCTTTACTTTCTGAGCCGCCGGGTGTTACTCATAGGCCATGGCCTCTTGAGACATCCTCAGCCATCAGCCTGGTCCGGAGGAAAAACAAACCGGCTCCCTGGATGTCCGGGCCATGAGGCAGCCAGCGGTGCCGCTGGCCCCGAGCGATGCCGCTCGCTTCATTCCCGGTGCC